AATGGCTCATACACTGAAATAAATAAAATCTTTTATTGTTGTTTAGATTATTATTTTTATACTACAATCAAGTCATTTGTCAAGTCATATTTTCTTGTTCTATTGACAAAGATTTTTTTCTTTTTTTTAGCAGTATTTTACTTTTATTTTATTTGTTTATTTATTTTTTTCAAGGGATTTTCTTCCCGTGTATTTGGCACAACATGTATTTGACTCTCTTCTTGCAGTTTGAATGCTCTTCTTGTGTTTTGGGTACGGTTTTTATCATGGTTCAATTGTTTCTCCCATCAACGTAATGCACTAATCTCTAAAGTAATAGAAATTGGGTCTCAACTCATTATGATGTATTGGTCACTTATGTTGATTGGTTGGGATTTATGTGTTGTGGAAATTTTGTTTGTTTGTTTATAAGTATTGGTCCACCTTTTGTGCGGTTTTCCCATTTTCCTGTCTTTAGAATCCAAGGTGGTAGATCTTCCACTGACTAAAAAACATTTCGAATAACATTACTACTTCTCTCTTTTCTTCTCGAGTGACCCTTGTGACCCCATGTTGTTTAATTTGTCCATTACCATTGGATTTTAGAGCAGACCTACTGTAGCCTGGCTGCAGCCAAACTCTAGCCCTGCCTACATAAAATATCAGCGGGCAGTTGAAATTTCATGTAGGCGTGGCTAAAGTTTGGCTACAAAGCAAAATTTCTTTCTTTTGCTTAACTTGAGAATTTCAGCCTTGGACCTGTGTGTGTTTGTGTATCCATGGGCAGTAAATTCACGTTTCACAGCAAGAAGCTCCTGGGTTCGATTCCACCTCCAGAGCGTGTTGATTTTGCCTTTTCTCAGCACAGGTTTCCTTCAAGTGCTCCGGCTATACCCTAAAAAACATATGCTGTCTAGTGACCCCGCTTCCATCCCGGAGCATAATAAGGGAAAAAAGACACACAATAACTCTACAGGACTTTGTGATTCACAGTCTGTGTAAAGCACTGTATAAATAAAGATTACTTCCTTACTTACTTATGCCTGCTTGTTCTTTTACTGTATAGAATGAGCAATAGATATGATAGCTTCTTCACTCTGACAACAATGGGGAATTTCTCTTCCACTTGTCAGATATAAAAGTGCCGGCTCACCTCCTCTCCGTGGCCCCGCTCTGACCTGGATGTTCTATTTAATGCAGAGATCCTCATTATTTGAGGACACACCGGCTCTACACGTCTGTGTGTGTAATTCAGATGTGAGGTACAGTGAGTGCCTATTATTACAGAGGAGCAGAGGGGCCAGCGGCGCGGGTGGTCCTCGCTCTGCCTTTTAAGTGCACCAGGAAGAGACTTACACTGAATAAGGCAAAGCTAGCATTGATTTTTTTCAGCTGTGAGGGATTTCCATTTTGAATTGAATGATGTAGCTGCACAACGTCTAGGATTAATTGTAACATAAAAAAAGGTGTTTAGGCAGAATTGTTTAATGAGAAAAGGTTGATTTGGGAGATCGAATGGATGTTAGCGTTGCGTAGTTTTGCCACAAAAGCAATAATCGCGTAACATGTTTGCTGCTTTGATGAGTAAGGAGACTCGACCGCAATTCTTTGTTTTCTTTTTCATAAGTCTCACTCCCTTTTTGAGTTGTATAATGTGACTGTTTGTGTGTATCTGTATCTTGTATCTGTTGTTGTGTACATTGTGTTATTTACATTGATTCATGTTGAATGTAGAATAATGACTATGTTAGTTTTTAAAATGTACTTAAATGAATAAGAATTGCTGTTTTTGTCCAATTAATAAAATCAGGAAAAAGGTATTTATATATTTTCTTCTGTATGAAAGTCAAATTTAGCCTTTTTAGCTTGGCACTTGCAGTAAAAAGAGATATTAATGCTTTTGGATGCTAATATATGGGTATCTCAAAGGCAACCAAAAGCCGAATAAAAGTTGTAAAGTAGGATATTAAAGCTGGTGCATAAAGCCTGTTTTATGTGTTTGAGTTTCCATAAAGATGGCTTAATTTCAGTTAGTGTTTACTGGCTTCCTGTCGGCAAACATTTGGTAACAGCATCTTCTAATCACGCGATTACCATGCACAGGATTGTGGGAGAATTCATCAACTGATCAAATACATATAAATAAACTGTCATTAATCATTAACCAGCAAATGGAAATGGAGTTTTCATCTTGTCATCAGCAGATTGCATTTAGATTAGGGTTAACATTTCATCGGGTGGTAAAAGTAATTTTTCCATCAGAAGCAGTTTGGATTATATCAGTAAAAGTCAGATTCTGAGGATTTCACAAAGCCGGGTAAATGTTAAATGTAGAGTTCATTATTTTTCATGTGTAAAAGTAGGATTTCTATTTGTTTAAAGGTGCACCTGATCCCTGGCGACCCAAGATGTCGCACTTTCAAATCAATGGCTGTGTTCAATGGTGTACGGTCTCGCCAGGGAGGCTGAAATATTAGTAAAAGTTACGCATTTCGGCCATCTCTGCTCTCCTCTCCCGGTCTTGTGCAGTAGGCTTCATTTGTGGAGGATGACAAACGACACTAAAATCATCACTAAACCAAAAATGTAGGTTCTATGACAGCTGAGGATGAGCCGTTTTTAATAACATTGAGGTCTTGGTCCTGCAAAAAGACCATCCCTGCTTCTTCATCCATAGCAAGTTATTTTGAAGAGGGAAATTGTTAGGATGAATAAAAGACTATAAATAATTGTTGTTTTCTCCCCAAAAAAGAGCTCTCTGTGGGAAAAAGGTTGGGACCCCATCATTTCAAAGAGTGTTTTTCCCCCTTCGATTCATCTCCCTCTGCTCTCTCCAGGACAGTCTCCATAACTCACCGCACACTCCTTGCACATGGGAACCGGCTAAACGCTGGGCATCACCTTTTCTCTAACCAGTGTCCGGTCCGAAAGCCCCCTCTACTCCCACCCATTGTCCTTTTTTTTTGTCGTTTATTGTCCTCTGTGCGGTCTAATTGTGACTTTAACCTGGATAGTCAGTGGGGCGTTCGTAGCTCGCAGAGAATATCGGAACTTTGGCCGCCGTCCACTGTCCACATCATTACTCTTGACCGCCGCCTTCACCTCCGAGCCACAAACAAGGGACGAAGAATAAGTGCGCTGGGAGACTTTGTTGAATCAAAAAACACGGGGTACACCATCGCACGCATATCCCCCCCCAAACATCGCACAGGCGGGCTTTGTTTTGGCTTAAAAGTTATTGAGAGTTAGCCAGTGTGAAATTGCCCTCTGAGTGATGTCATCGGAGGACACTGAACCCTTGTTGTGTTAATTAGCGCTCAATGAAATGATGACTCGGGGAAAAAAACAGAAAGAGGCGGGCGTAACAATGGCCTTAAGCCTTGATGAGGAGGACAGTTAGGGACTGGCGAATTGGTTTATTTATTCATTTTTATGTGCAATTAAAGAGCGGGAGGGGGTGGAGGAGGCTAAAGTGTGGGATTTGGAGATGTAGGTGAGAAGGAGAGTGCGTGTGCTGATGGACTCGGATCACTGACTTCTTATGCTTATTTCCAGGACATTGCGATACCGCGAATGGGAAACTGTGACCATCTGTGCGCCACGTCCAAAGGGGGGATCGGAGGAAGCGGGATTCTCGCTGCTGAGTGAGAATTTGTGACTTTTGGGAAGGGTTTAATTGATCTTGCTTAGTTTGAGTCGTCTTGTAATACTATGTAAGGAGGGGTGATAGTTTTTGTGCGATTAAAGGTTTGAAAGTATTGAAAGCAGCACGTTTTCACAGCTCAAACATTCACTTTAAAGCTGAGGTATCTACACTTTTAGCACAACCAATTAGAACTACAGAATCTGTCTAACCAGTTTAAATGTTTGCTTGTTTTCCCATGCATGTATCTTTGCCATCTCTCACATCTTTAGATCAGCTTTTTCTGACAGAAAAGTCAAAAAGAAAGGACTAACCTCACTCTGCTCCCAGCCCAAGGTGTCAAATAGTGACTCAAAGGGTTCTACATTAGAAGTATGCAAAGGATAACATGTCAAGATTAAGATAGCTATTAAGATATTACAGCCTTTATTGTTAAAAAAGAAAAAACATAAGAGAGGTACCCCAACTTTAAAGCCAAGTCCTCAGGCAGTACAGAGCAGCCCAGCTATAGTGGTAGTAGTTCCGTGATTTCAGAAATACATTATAAATCCAATGATACATCAGTATGTGTGATTTTGTTTCATTATCAAAACATTGATTCATTGTTAAAACCCTTTAACAACGTCTTAAACCTCCCCCAGTCCAATATCCCTTCATATTATGACACTTACATTTGTATTGTAAGTTTTCAAACTTTGCAATTGTCTGGTGAACACCTGGGCAAGTTATTTACCATGTTTGAATTCAATATGAAAGGCTATAATTTATCTATATCAGGCTTTCTATCTGGGTGTCTTCCATCTTTGCATGATGCTCTCAGTCAGGATGTATGCAAACGAGGTTCTAAAACTAATGCCGAATTCATCAGGTACAAAGCTAATATGCAATCAATTAATCTGCGAGAGATCCATCATATCAGGAGGCACACGCACTTCAATATGCGATTAGGGCAGTGCTCATGCAGCCATGTATCCGTCAGCCCCAGAAGGGATGTCACTACAAGCACAAAGTAAATTTTGCATGAAGTACAATAAATGTTTCATCAACAGATTACGGGCAGATGCGGCCGTTCTATTTACTATTATATTTAGTTATATTTACGTTTACTTGAGCAATAATTTCATATAATTGTACTGACTCGTGCTCAGATATGAGAAATGAATGATACAAGGTTTCTATGTAAAAGTCCGTGTCCTTAATTTGGACGTTTGGGTTATTGCTTTGCTCTTAATAATTGAAAATGCCTAACTGAGCATTGTCATCTGATTAACCCAACATTGTTTTTTTACTTTAAAACACTTACACGGGTCTTCTCATTTGAGTCATTCATGGGTCTTACTTGTGTGTTACTACTACACGCTTGCGTTTCCATACTAACCTGTGTGTATCCGTAGATGCACTTTTAGGTGATGAGAGGTGCGGAAGGACTTGCCGCAGTAGGGGCAATCCTTGGAGGACGATCCCAGGCCCCTCTCACGATGCTGGGGCACTGCGACCACCGCCGAGTTGGGGATGTTGCTGGCAGGAACTACGGTGACGGGCTGAGCGTTCCCTGCTGCCTTCGCCAAATCCTCGCCAACATCTGGAAGAGAAACACGAGAAACAAAACGAAAAGCGGCGTGAGTGTCACTTCGAACTTGCCTACGCATCGGCTGTTCTTGCCTCGTCCTTTTCTCGAACATGCAAATTCGACAGGAACGCTGACGGTTCAGAAGCTTTTCAAAATTCCCAAACATCTTGCATACTACCGTCGATACACTCCTCCCATTTTGGCTTTTCATCAGCCCCTATTTCAGAATCGCAGTGAAAATTAACAATGCGCAAATCAGACAGGGGGAAGAAAGAGTGTAGCGGGGAATTGGCTATGTCAGCAAGCCGGGATCTCCTCACATCTTGTTGGCGCGACCCAATTTTGACAGGTAGTTGTCAGAGATGTGATAGGGTGATAACGGTTTGACCCCGCCCTCTCTGTTCTGATAGAAAGTTGTGGACGGAAAGAAACTAAAAATGATGACAAAGAATTTATTTCAACTGTACTCAACGCAAATTACAGAATGTGTTTGCGAAAGACGACAACTTGCTAATCGAAGATAGAGGTATAGGCCTCGCGTATTGGGTTAAGTCTGCATGGTATTCAGGGTTTTCGAGGTTCTTTTGCACTAATATTTGATGCTTGGTGTAGATTAAATGGAAAAGAAATATCCGCGGAGGCAATGATCGGTTTGACTGGTGTCACAATGGGTCAGCGTCAAGCCAACTGCCAGCGAACTGTCACATTGTATTTAACTGACAAAGAAATGATATCAGTGTGCATGCAGCCAAAGGGACAGACCTTGGAAGAAGTCTGCGGCATCGGGAAAGTTCAATATTGTAACAATGGAAATGCATCTATGCCATATGGTGTAATCAAGTAAAATGTTCTATACTATCAGTGTATATGCAGAGACACGTTATCAATACATACGCTCAGTAAGTTAATATCTAATGATGAACGGCATGATTTCTTGCTTGCTATTGGAAATACGCACACACTTTTGTTTAATTCATTTTCTATGCAACAATTTAGAATGCGTGCAGTTTAAAATGTATTTGTATTCCAAGCTGTGGTGCATGATTTGATACGTCCATATGCCCCGTGTTGGCTGAACTGGTATACGCAAGACAGAAAATCAAAATCAAAATTCACCAACCCTCCTCGGCAAGGGCAACGGCACAATAAGCAACATTTTTAACAGTAGCCTAATCTTTTCTTTTCTGTGGCGGACCCAGTCTATCCGCCCCTCCTCTGTCCGTCACTCAAATCGGGTTTACAGAATGGAAAGGCGCAAGTCAGCAAGTCCTTCTCCACATTGACACTAAACACACAACTCCATTCACTGCTCCGCTATCAGCCTGAAGGCTATTTATCACAACTCAAACTGAAAGGCAACCTAAATATAAGTCTGGGACAATGCGCAGATACTAAATACCAGCTGCTTCTACTTGGCCTTGGCAACTGCACTTTCATTCTATGAGCGGCCGAGAATGGTGCGAGCCTGCGAGCGCTTTGGGTGTAAAAGCAGATGTCAAATTGTGCATCGCAGCCAGTAAAATTACCTCTTTATATGGTTTCAATCAGAAGGTGATAGAATACACAAAGAAGCTGTAGAAGGACATCGGAGGGACATAACCATAACAGTTTAGTTTCTAATAACTGGACTGATGTTGGTAAAGGAAAGTATTGTGGTGATAAATAAAATGCACAAGCAACATCATTACCAAGCCATTCTTTTTTTTCCCAAAAGCTTTAGCCTATAAATGCATTTGAAACTCGCTGTGGTTGCTCAAATCTAAAGTAATAAGTAATAAAAGATGTGTTACCGTCCATAAGACTTATTGCAGGGATAGGTGCATATTAAACTAAACATATTGTATGTAAAATATCAAAGGTGAAAATTTAATTTCCTGAATAATTTCACGTCTGCTGTTCCACCATCAGTTCATTTGCATTTTCATTTGAATGCATTTAAAATGTCACAGACAGCAAATAAAAAAATAAAAGTGCGACAATTCCCCCAGTGCTGGGTCCAGGGCGGCACCATACTGTCGCCATCGTGGCCTGCTCATAAACATATTTTGAGCAGTCTACTGTACAGATCCCTTTTTGGCAAAGATTCTGCAGATCGTGTAACAGACAGTGGCCCACCTGCCCGGCCCAGATGGGGCTAGAATTAAAAAATCCCAAACATGCTTTTGAGGCAGGAGCACGGAGCTGTCTGTGTCAGTGCAGTGTGTCACACAGACGTCGTGTGAAGGGTCAGTCTGTGTCCAGGAGCCTCACACTGAGAGGATGAGCTCTGGCTCTACCTCTCCTTTAATAATCAATGTACTCACATTCTCACACTGTCCTGAGCACACACATATCTGCTTTAGGTGTGTGGCCCTTGTAAACCTGTGCACAGACAGCCAGAGCGTGCACGTGCCTCAGAGTGTGCACGTGAGAAGCCAGTCCAGTCTGCACCACTATCAGCCTGCTTGTCTTTAATCAGTTGACTGATCTGCAGCTTTTAATGCGGCTGTTCCAATTACTGTAAAAGTCATCCTGCTCCATATAACCACAAATATTGACACTTTATTGCACAACACATTTATGACATTTTGAAGGTCAGCCGTATATTAGGCGTCATCGTTCACAGCTGGGTGTGTGATGTGTGGGCAGACTCTCCGCGCCTGTTGACACGCAGCAGTAACTATCTGCACTGTATTGATTTCCACTCGCCGGCCTCCATCCTTTTTATGCAAAGAGGATTCACTGTGGGAGACGCAGCGTTAAAGTGATTGTCACAGGTGAGCCTATGGCTGTATTTATACAGGCCCGTAAAGGCCACACACCATCATTCTTTCTATTTACATTTCTTTTATGAAGCTGATATTTCCGTCTGCACCATCTGCGTGTTTTGATTGGATAAATGGCATCTGTAACTGTTGCCACTATCCTATTTATTTCACCACTTGTGTCAAGAACTTTTTTATGTCAAGACAAAACATTTCTAAGTTTGACAGAAATGGAGCTTCCTTTGAATAAAAAAAAAAAAACACAGATTACTTAAACAAAAAATATTCTTGAAAGGGAGTTTTAATAGGCCATGGATGCTTTGATAGAGATGCATTGCTTTTCCGAAAAGCCCCATGCTGACTTGACATGTTTTATTTCAGCCAGTCCCTTCTTTAAATTACTCTACTCGGATCAGGAGCACAATGACTAAAGCACATCTCTGAATGAAACATTAAAGCCACTACTACTGCCTTCCCCAAACTGCTGTCACGGAGCCCGCTGCTTTCAAAGAGCGTACGCCGATGGCTCATGCGGCGCCCGGGCCGACTCCTCCCGACATGACAACCACACAAGTGCCACAGTCAAATCACAGAGGGGAAGAGAGGGATCCATGTATAATTCAGCTGTATCTGATCTGAGACCAGCTCCTCTCCCCTCTGCTTTTACTGGTGTCAAGGCAGCCTAATGGAACATGCCAGAACAAAGGCCCGGAGATCAGATTGGAGCAGAGTTGAGCAGGCCATCTGGGAGGCAGGCTGAGTATCAGTCACTGTGCCGGCTGTCTGGAGCACTCGCACTCATGTACACACACTTGCCTCACCACAAACAGTGTGTGTGTGTGCGTGTGTGTGTGTGTGTGTGCGTGCGTCTCTACGACATGTCACCAGGATCTCACTAAAGAAGAGAAGACCCGCTCTCTCCTCACCGACATGGGAATAAGCCACCTGGGCACAATTGAAATGTTCAAAATGGAATGCCATGCAACCTCACAGGCATTTTGTCTTGTGCAATATTCAGCATGTCTGATGAAACAAAAGAAGTAAATCTGCTTGTAAAATACTAATATGAATTGTCATTTATTCAACTTTTTGTTGTCGTACACTTCTTGGTAAATGACATAGCTCCTCTACCACTCTTACACTATACGTTAAGTTTAATACAAATACACCATAGAAGCAGTAGTTAAATACAGCCAGTAGCTAAATACAGCCCCCTAACCACACAGCGACAATAAATACAGCAAAGACCTACAACTTAACCCTAACCTCATCAAAACAAACTCACTTTTCTTTACGCACTTACTGTACATTAGGAGCCTTGAAGCAAATGCATCTGTTTCTAAACTAGAATTTCCTAAAGTTCTTAATTTGGGATGACAAATTCACTTCTATTTTTACACACTCACCAGCATCAGAGAGGTTAAACTATATAGGCTAGCACTGTAAATCAGGCCAGTGAAAGTTTTATCTTTAACATTTAATGCAGTGAACTACTTCAGTGTCCATTTAACAGCCGAGTCCCAAAAGGATAATACTGCCTCAATATGAGCTTCCAAGAAATGGCCCATTTTTTGGTTTCTGATAACCCTGCGAAAATACTCACGGGTGCTCTATATGTTTTGGTGTTAGAAGTCATTGAGATATATTACATGTTTATTGCTATCATAAAACGCATAAAGCCAACTTGTGTTATGTTAAAACTGCACGCATCTATAAGACTTTATAGATTAAAGATTTGAGTGTTAGAAATGTATTTGGTTTTCTCTATTAAACTTTCAATATGTTTACAGGGCATTGACAATTGTACGTTACAAGATTGTGGGATTATATAAGCGTTTTATTTTTTTTTCCATACAATCCAAACCATCTGCTGTGTATCTGTGTTTAACAATAAAAAGAAAAACAATAAAAAAATGTTTCTTTCCTTTGCATTGTTGGCTAAACGTCCAGCTATATTACAACCAGGTTATGAATACACTTTCATACTTGCTATAGGAGTATGAAAATGTATATGTTATTACGTGTGTGCTTTTTCTGTAATCTGTAACAAATATCAAAAGCAAGAGTTAATTTCTACTACTTTTCACTGGTAACTAAAGTAAAGTTCTCACATACAACACACGTGAAAAACCTCAGCCCTACATTTCCAGGAGATTGCAGCCATTAGACAAGTCAAATAATGTAGTTGAAAGGAACCAGCCAACTAATTCCCTCGTAACGAAGATTGGCATGTTTGCTTGAAGTCATTTTAAAGCCCTCTATTCCATT